GCAGGGGCTGCCTGTCCCAGGGAGGAGGGACACTTCATGTGAATAGCACTGCACTTAAGAAGCATGCAGTGTTGAGTTGGATGTGGATCTCTAGGATCTTCCATATTTTCTTTGTGGTGGGGGAGAGAGTGTCAGACAGAGCATCACCTCATCCACATATGCATCTACCCTACTGATGAACTATATCACCCTGACTCTCCCTCATTTTAAAAAATGAAATGACCATCTCTACTCAAAAATGAGTTCTTTGCTTATGATCTCTGCATTTGTGACAGATCCAAGTAGAAGCAAAGCTCTAGGCTCTGATTAATTGGATTTTGCATTACTTTTTTTCTGGTCCATTAGGGTTTTCTCCTCAAAGACAAATTTTTATGTTGAGATCTATCTTGAGCACTTGGATGCTGACAAGGCTAATTTAGTAAACATTTTTTGTTTTGCTTCTAAAATGAATTGCACAATTATATTGCACACTTAAGGTCACTTGTCTTGAGTTACCAAATTTGTTTGGTCTCTGTCAGGCACTGTATTTGGTATTAAGGATTCAACTTTGAATCAAATAGATTCTACTCTCAAGATACTTCTAGAAATAGAGATATGTAATATTTATGTTTTTTCTTTCTAGTGCTCTGTAATAAATTATCACCTTCTTCAAACAACACCTCTCTGTGATCTCCTAGTTATGCTGGTCAGTGGTCATAGTGGTCTAGACTTAGTAGCAGGCAACAAAAATCAAAGTTTCTTGTTTTGATAAATATTCTTGAAAATAATCATCAGATTTAAAACCTCACAACTTTTTCTTTTCTTCTATCATCACTGTCACTGTCACTGTCACTGTCCTCCTGTTGTTCATTGATTTGCTTGAGCGGGCCCAATAATGTCTCCATTGTGAGACTTTGTTGTTACTGTGTTTGGCATATCGAATATGTCACGGGTAGCTTGCCAGGCTTTGCTGTGCTGGCGAGATATTCTCGATAGCTTGCCGGGCTCTCTGAGAAGGGCTGAGGAATCGAACTTGGGTCTGCCATGTTGGCTGCGTGCAAGGCGAACGCCTACCCGCTGTGCTATTGCTCCAGCCCTTCTCTTATCATATAAAATATTTTTAGAACCAGATGATATAGTGCTATGGTTAAAATGCTTGCCTTGCACCTGGATGACCCTTTTTTGATTCCCAGGACTGCGTGTGGTTCTGGAGCAATGCCCACAAGTAATGCCTGAGAACAGAGTTAGCAGTAAGACCTGAGCATTTTGTTGTGGCCCCAAACCAAAAAAACAAACAAGCCGAAATAGTCTTGAGTAGTTTCTGATGCATGCCCATGTTTCTTTCCCTGGAGCTTGCTTTCACGAATTCTGATGCTCATATTATGGAAAGAGAGAAGTAAGAGTGCACGATATACAATGTTACTCTTTCTGTGCCCCCCCCCATACACACTCTTACACACCTGTATATTCTAATCTTTTTCAACATAATTATGGTCTGAGTAGAGCATGCACTGTGAAGCTTTATTTTAAATATGGAATATTGGATTTCACCCCCGACTCCCTGCTCTTCCCTTTTTTACTGCACAAGTGTAATTCCTCAATACCATCTTTGTGAAGCAAGAGAGTGGTGAACAAAGGACTTGTTGAAAGATGCTATTTTTGATTTGCTAAATTCTATAGAAGTAGAGCCTGAGGAATTCCACTAAATAAAAATATGGGATGCTATTCCATTTCTCACTTCTGCTGGAGTTCTGGAAAACAGTCTGTTAGGAACATCACCATATACATGCATATTGATAACAGTCTTCACGACTGTCTGCCTTTCCCTCCCTCATAGCCTCTAAAGGCACACCATGAGTGACCACTCGTCCCTTTCAGTTCTGTTTTTGTTCTTGCACCTTATCAGTTGTAAGATTATACTCTATATAGGTATCAAGCTGCCCACTAGAAGGCCTGAAAAATGATGACAGATATAAACACATTTTCTTGTGGGACACACAGAGGGTCAAATAAATGCCTCAGCAATCCTTTAGTGCCAAATAATCAAAGTGGAAGGGCAAAGTCAGGACTTCCCCTGTACACTAGACATTGGAAGAGTTATTTTTCTGATGAAAGAGAACCCCCCATATAAAGAGATCAATTTTTTTTTTAGAAAAGGAAAATATTAACGTGTATCTAACAGTCTCACTGTTTTATGGGAAATAAGTTATATTCAAATTCAGCAAAATAGGACTCAAGCTTCAAGGCTGAGTAGATAATAACTTCTATGCAGCCTATGTATTGGACAGTCACTGTGCAGGCGATAGAAATCATAGATTCTGACTTTTTCTCTCTATTGGTTATGAACCACAAATTTATATATATATAAACATATGTATGTGTATATTTATATACAAAAATACACACATATACATGCATACATATATATGTATTTAAAACTAGCCAGTCTTTGGAAATATCTTGAATGAAAAAGTCATGTGAATTAAATACATGCTCAATTCTCAGAGTTTTACAACTGAAAAGTTCTCAAATTAGAAAACATTTCAAATCAAAAACATATGTTCTCACATTTCCAATGATGACAACATTATCCTCAGCTAGGAAGAAATATGGGTCATGATTTTTAATGTGTTCTTATCACTGTCTAGGATGATGTGTTCATAACTTAAATACAAGCAAATTGGAATTGGCATTTGCTTGACCTCCTCAAGATGATTTTAAAGAAACTTTACAAATTTAGTTATATTAGAAATGTTGTATATCATAAGTAGCTAAAATATTTCACAGTTAATTATGTGAAAGCCAAAAATTATTATGAGTTAGTTCAGGCATTTGAATACTAATATAAGTCCTTTTGTAAAAAAAAACAAGTAAACTATAAACCTGCCAATAAACTTGCACAAACGTTAGAACTATCATTAGGACTATAATTCACAACAGTTACTAAACATACATTTTAACAATTGGTATATTTTAAATTGTTGTACAAATAATGTACCTGTAATATTTTTTGGACTTTTTTTCTCATTCCATGTAATCTGATGACCATTGTTTCTTTTTTAATTTTAATTTTATTTTTAAAAAGTTTTAAAAAGTTGTTCACAATAATTTATTACATTTAATATTCCAACTCCAATCCCAGCACCATTACATCTTCTGACCACCGATATTTTGAATTTTCCTGACCACCACCCAAGCTTACCCCAATAGCAGGCCCTAAATAATTTGTTTGTGTTGCTTGTTATGGGCTAGAGCAATAGCAGAGCGGGTAGGACGTTTTCCTCAAACATTGCTGACCTGGCTCACCTGGGTTCGATTCCTCTGCCCCTCTTGCAGAGCCTGGCAAGCTACCGAGAGTATCTCACCCTCACAGCAAAGCCTGGCAAGCTCCCCATTACGTATTCGATATGTCAAACACAGTGACAATAACTGTGACAATGGAGACGTTACTGGGCCCGCTTGAGCAAATCGATGAACAATGGGAGGACTGTGCTGTGTGCTGTGTGCTGTTATGAATAATTTGCTAAAAATGATCAAAGTTTCCTAGAAAAAAGCGTGTGAAATTGTTGTATCTCAGCCTGGAGCCATTAAGCCCCTGTATAAGAGTTTTACTACGATTACAGGTTGAATCATATATATATATATATATATATATATATATATATATATATCACTGTCACTGTTCCTCCTATTGTTCATCGATTTTCTTGAGCGGGCCCAGTAACATCTCCATTTTGAGACTTGTTACTGTGTTTGGCATATCGGATGCGCCATGGGTAGCTTGTCAGGCTTTGCCATATGGGCGAGATATGTCACAGGTAGCTTGCAGGCTTTGCCATGTGGGTGAGATACTCTTGGTCGTTTGCAGGGCTCTCTGAGAGGGGTAGAGGAATCTAACCTGGGTTGGCCAGGTCGGCCATGTGGAAGGCAAACACCCTACCCATTGTGCTATCGTTCCAGCCCATATATATGTATATATATATGTAAATATATATAAATTATTTTTAAAATTGAGATTAGTTGCCTTCTACTCTACATCCCATCCAATGTGATGTGCTATTCTTCATATATCAGTGTGTAGAGTACGAAATGCTGTGCTTTAGAAATTCTAAAATTTTTAATTTTAAATAGGTTCATACAGTTTTTAACTAGATGGTGACTTTGGGGTACAGAGGCATTTCTGCAGCTTGTTGCTCTCCTCCAATATTTATTTTGCGTCTCTGAGCTGGAGACAGTTTGTGCGTGTGACTGCCAGGCTACCAGAAGCACAGGGACTTGAGGGGAAGTCACCCATTCCTGACTAAGTGTGAGCCTGGAGATTTTGGTCACAAAACCCACATACCTGAGTTTTTCATCAGATTCCCTCATTGATAAAGCTCATCTGAGCCTATGGAGGCCATGAGCATGGTGGTGATTGAGTTATGGAGGTTTTCAGTCACTAAAGCTCTGTTGGGGTGGGTGAGACTCCTACTGGTCCCCCCTGAAGTGTCCTGCATACCTGGGCAGGGTCCTGAGGCAGGTCTTGACCATTGTTTCTTTTAAGCTCTTGGGCTCCCATATTACCCTGAATGCTTTCACTTAATCACTTAATCACATAACTTCCCGTTAGTCGTTGATTTGCTCGAGCGGGCGCCAGTAACGTCTCCATTGGTCCCTGTCGCGTGCTAGTGTAGCCCAATGGCATCTCTTCGCTCCGGGAACATGGAGGGCCTCAAACCGATCGTTCATGATCTTGACAAAGAAGTCTGACCATCTGGTAGGTGGGCGGCCACGCGGTCTCTTGACATCCCGTGGAATCCAATCAGTAACAGCTCTAGTCCAACGGTCGTCTTTAAATCTCATTACGTGACCAGCCCATCTGATTTTCGACACCTTGGCATATGAGACAGCGTCCCTGATCCTTGATCGTCGACGGATGTCAGAACTCCGGATTCATTCTCTCATTTGAGTGAAACGTGATATTCCAAGCATAGCTCTTTCTATTCTTCTTTGGGAAACCTGAATGACCCCGAGTGACCCCGAGCCATGGCTTGCGAGAGGAAGGGCCTCTCGGAGCTGCGATCGGAGCTCTACTTCCTCATCGCCCGCTTTCTGGAAGATGGACCGTGTCAGCAGGCGGCTCAGGTGCTGATCCGCGAGGTGGCCGAGAAGGAGCTGCTGCCCCCGGGCACCGACTGGACGGGCAAGGAGCACCCCCGGACCTACCAGAATCTGGTGAAGTATTACAGACATTTAGCACCTGATCATTTGCTGCAAATATGTCATCGATTAGGACCGCTTCTTGAACAAGAAATTCCCCAGAGTGTTCCTGGAGTACAAACTTTGTTAGGAGCTGGAAGGCAGTCCTTGCTTCGCACAAATAAAAGTTGCAAACATGTTGTGTGGAAAGGATCTGCTCTTGCTGCATTACATTGTGGAAGGCCACCTGAGTCACCAATTAACTATGGTAGCCCACCTAGCATTGTGAAGAAAAAAACCACCCAGGGATCGAATTGTGCACAGAAGACCCACCCTACCCAGATAAATACCCCACTGGCAGACTTCCACTCTCGACACTACTTCCACTATCCAGCCGTCGCCACACTCCAGGACGCTTTCCGGACCCGCGCGGCCGCAAGTGGTCTTATGACACATCATAAGACACTAAATACCCATCTTCTGGAATTGTCGTACCATATTTGATAGGGTTCAAATATGGTAACACCTACAAGGGTGATTAGAGGTCACCCCAAAAGCCTCTATACCTCTCGGAAAGACTGGCAAGCTACCGAGAGTATTCCGCCCGCACGGAAGAGCCTGGCAAGCTATCCGCTGTGTATTCGATATGCCAAAACCAGTAACTACAACTGGTCTCATTCACCTGACCCTGAAGGCTTCACCGACATGGCAGCACTGAGAAGGATGAGAAAGGAGAGGCCGACAAAATCTCAAGGCCGACCTAGGCTGCCACAACGAAGGAAGACAAAAATGATCGTCTGTACTTTCAATGCACGTACGCTAGCATCAGATGCATCCATCGAGGACCTGATGGTACAAGCGCGAATGATCAAGTACGACATCATTGGTCTGACCGAGACAAGAAGGCACGAATCTCACCATGCCGTTTTCGACACTGGAGAAGAATTGTTCCTCGGAACATGCGATAAAAGAGGTGTTGGAGGCGTCGGTGTCCTTGTCAACACAAACTTGGCCAAGAGCATTGATTCATTCAAATGCCTAACAACCCGAATCGGACGTTTACATTTGAATAGATGTGGCTCACTGCCTGCAGTTTCTATCTTCGTTGTCTACGCACCAACATCTCATTATGATGAAAGAGAAATCGAGAAGTTCTACATGGAGCTAGAGAAGTTCTATAAAGAAGACCACACCTTCTACAAGATCATTGTGGGTGATTTTAATGCCAAGATAGGACCGAGAAGATCAGCTGAAGAACTTCACATCGGGACCCATGGCCTAGAATGGAACGAACAGGGTGAGAGACTGTCTGAGTTCATCATGTCGACCAAGACCATTCATGGTAACTCACAGTTCCAGAAGGCAGAATCTAAACGATGGACATGGGAGTCTCCCGGTGGACGATTCCACAACGAAATAGACCACATCATATTCAATCAACGGTTTTGCCTGACTGATGTCGCTGTTGTCCCAAAATTTCAAACGGGATCGGACCACCGTCTCCTTCATGCAAAATTCTACTTCACAGAGCGGGGAGAAAGGGCTGCAAAGTTCAAAAAGAGAACTCCCAGAATGACCACCAACTGGGAACTCTTTGGTACTATTGCGGCAACATGGGAAGATGCCATTGTTGACAACATTGACGAGGAATACGATCGACCTGAATGCTTTACATCATACATAATTTGCTCAATAACACTTCCTTGACTAAATCATTTCCTAAATATTGGACTATTCATTTGTCTAGTATAATTATGGAAAAAAGCATTAATTAATATATTCTCCATCTGTCACCGTCACTGTCCTCCCGTTGTTCATCGATTTGCTCGAGGGGGCCCAGTAACATTGCGAGACTTTCTACAATATTGTATTTAAATATATCTTTAATATATTTTATTTAAAATCATTCTTCAAAGAACACTTACATTTGTGGGCCAGAGAAATAATCCAGTAGTTAAGACACATGCCTATCATGCTGATTCTGGCTTATTTCTCAGTGCTACCTGGTTCCTGAGCACTGTGTAGTGTGGCCCCATAGCACCCTCCTCCCCCAGCATTGCCAGTTGGGATTAACTATTTAAAGAAACAAAAAAAAGTAATTCAAGAAATAACTATATTTATGCATTTGCCACAATATTTTATTTTCTGAAGGAGTCAAGTCTTCATATTTTATAATTCTATACTTTGGACAATTCTGATTTATTCCTATATAGATGTAAATATTAAACTAAAGATTCCTCTCCTTCATGTTTTCATCTTCCATTGGTAGTTTTGTTATCATTGTACACAGTATTTTCATTTTGGTATTAGGTATAAATCATACACAGTTTATTAAATATTTCTTTTAACTTTGTCTTGAAATACTGTGATATTACCACCACAAATTTTAATGAGCTTAAATTAAATGCTGAAGCATTGAATTTAGTTTTGATTGGATTTTGTTTTCAAGGATCATTTGAAAGAAGTCAAGTTACATAGACTTTGGTCTTCAAACTGTTCCCACTATACATGAGCATGTTGGCTGATTATAATTATCTTGGGTGACAAGACAGTTTTTTTTTTTAATTTTATTGAATCACTGTGAGATAGTTACAAGCTTTCATGCTTGGGTTACAATCGCACAATGATCAAACACCCATCCCTCCACCAGTGCACATTACCCACCACCAGTATTCCCACTATATCCCCCCTTTCTCATCCTCCCCCTCCCTCCATGGCAGACATGATTCCCCATAATCTCTCTCTACTTCATTGTTTTCTTAGTGATCCCTTCTCTATTCCAGCTGCCTTCTCCCCTTTGCTCCTGAAGCAGGCTTCCAGCTATGGAGCAATCTATCTGTCCCGTGTATTTACTATCCTTCGGTGTCAACCTCATGTTATGTTGTTTTATACTCCACAAATGAGTGCAGTCCTTCTATGTCTATCGCTCTCTTTCTACTCATTTCACTTAGCATGATACTCTCCATGTCTATCCATTTTTAAGCAAAGTTCATCACTTCATCTTTCCTGATAGTTGCATAGTATTCCATTGTGTAGATGTACCAAAGTTTCTTTGACCCGTCACCTGTTCTAAGGCACTTGGGTTGTTTCCAGATTTTGGCTATTGTGGACAGTGCTGCAATGAACATATGGGTACAGATGTCATTTCTACTGTACTTTTTTGCATCCTTGGGATATATTCCCAGAAGTGGTATTGTGGGGTCATATGAAAGCTCAATTTCCAGTTTTTGAAGGACTGTTCATATTTAAAACAAGAAAGGCTGGACTAGTGGGCATTCCCACCAACAGTGAAAGAGTGGGTTGACAATACAGTTTGCACTTTATTCTGATATTGATGGTCGCTTTGCAGAAATTTGAGACCTGCCTGATTTTCTTTTTCTTTATATTTCTTGGTCTGGGGCATTAACACAGTAGGTAGGGCATTTGCTTTGTACATAGCCAACCCGGGTCGATTCCTTTGCTTCTCTCATAGAGCACAGAAATCTACTGAGAGTATCTGCCCACATGGTAGAACCTGTAAAGCTACTGTGGCATATTGCCAAAAACAGTAACAACAGGTCTCACAATGGAGACGTTACTGGGCCCACTCGAGCAAATCAATGAACAATGGGAGGACAGTAACAGTGATAGTATTTGAGTCATGAAACACTGGAAATATTTTTAAGAATTAATATAAGAGATTAAAAGATTTGGGAAGAAGGCATATGGCTACTGGGGATGTAGCTAAAAATTTTACTGTGAATCATTTTATATTCTTTTGATATTTGAACTATAGGAAAATATTATAAAACAAATGCCATCAATAAAATATTAAAAAAATTACATAGCCATGTTCATTGGCCAGAATTTGGAATTTGATTTGATTTTCATTTTTTTAAAAACTGAATATGAATATTGGCTTATAATATTATAAACAGACTAAGAGCAATAGTCTGTTGTTAGACTTGTAAAATTAGTCTTATAAAAACACACTAATTTATAATACCAGTCCTATAGAAATACTATCTCTGTTAGCAGCTATTTATCAAGCAATAAAACTCAACTTGATTTTCTCCACCCTACTCTCCCTTCAAATGTGCTGCTTCTTCCTTTATTTTCAACTTCACCATCTTGGTTGTCAGAGGAAAATTATTTATGTTCTGTAAGGAAATACTAAATGAAAATGGACTCCCCTCTGATTTTTGCAAACTCCCTCAGTATTTCCGAAAAATGTGTGTTGTTGCTATGGCTCTACTCATGTTAACAAGTGGAATGGATTAGGTGTAACTATCATAAAGCACATTTAGCCCCGCCAAAGTCCAACATCTGCTTTTTCAGTACTGTACCTAGTCTTTAATTTGGGAGAAAAATGGCTTCATTGATATTAATGCTGTGCAACTTATTGTGTAGTAACCATAATGCAGTGATTTTCCTGCTATATGTTCAATTCACATTTTCCTCCTATGAAACAATAAAACAACCATAGAGTGAATATCTCATATCAATTTGGCATAAGAAATGGAATCTCTTGCCTTCAAAAACTGTATGATGAATGTGGAATCATAAAATGGAACAAACAACTCCAATGATTAGACAAACATATTTATATCACTTCAGAAACAGTGCCATATTATTATCCCAAGCAACATTTTTTCTTCCATAAAAGATTTTCATATTTGGGGATTTCATTATATTGTCATTTTCCTCTTTGCACTCTGTATTTCTAAATAAGAAAGTGTCAGAATGTGACATAGTTTCCTTATTTGCTCTAAGAATGATCCACATTTTTAGTTTTATCACTTGGCTTCATTGTCAACTCTGTTGGCAACGAGAAATCCTCAATGATCTGGTCAGAGTAGATGGGAAAATTTGATGGTAGGAACCAGCTAGAAATTCTTTTTTTATGGTATAATGAATTTTTCTACTGGAGTGTATGTTTCAAGGGTACTGGGTTACCACACCATGCCAGCACTAAAATGCCAATGTTCCTCTACTACAATTCATAGACCACTTATACTCTGTGTGAGATAGAAAATCTTTTAAAATTAATCTTATGAGATAAAATGAATCTGTATGGAATTGGTGGGGATAAAAATAGAAAAGAGAGGAGAGTTAAGAATGCTATTTTTGTTAAGAATGTCAAAAGAGGGGTTGGAGCAATCGCACAGCGGGTAGGGCATTTGCCTTGCAACCAGCCAACCCAGGTTCGATTCCCAGCATCCCATATGGTCCCCTGAGCACCGCCAGGAGTAATTCCTGAGTGCAAAGCCAGGAGTAACTCCTGAGCAT